CTAATGCAATCCTGCGATGTCAAATGAAAGCATTTTGTAGTATGTTTTCAAAAAGCAAGAAGATAAAGACATAAAACAAAAACGATGTGAAATTAGAGAAACGTTATGATATTTTTGTTATAATGAGATGAACTTTACTTGAGACGTAAAATAAAGGGCGTTACTATGTTTAAATTTTCTAATGGAAAGTAAAGTCATGTAATACCTCATTTGAAAGATATTTTGATTATATTTATGTCCTAGCACACATTTTTTTTTTGTTTTTACAAAAATTAGATTCTTGATAATCCTCGTGTGCCGCAATAATCTTAGAAATGTTAGATAATGTTAGAAGAGAATTTTTTAATAAGCTTTTTTTGCCAAGAAGTTATGAAAAATTTAATATGTCAAGTGGTTTTTAAATCACCTTTGATATTCTTTATTTATTTTAGTAAATTCAAGAAGCGTTTCCTTAGTAATAAATAATAATTGTTAATACGAGAGTTATCAAGAATGTAACTTATTAGTAGAGGCCCAGAACATGTCTGTATAAGAACAAAGTATCAGCTACAAAAATTGCCATTTGTGCAGTGTTAAATCCCTCTAACAGTAAAAAATTACTTAAATTTATAAAAGATACTGACATTTACTCTGTACTAGCCAAAATGTTAATTATCCATTGTATGCTACAACAACATTTATAAGGTATTATACCTCCGTTAATGATCCTTTAAGGTTGAAGCAGTAAATAAAAAAAAGGATTTAACCTACTTTTTGAATTTATTTCATATAATTTCTGTAAAAACATATAAACCTGAATCTGTTTACACGTAAAAATATAGAAAATATATTTCAAATGAGATATCACATGACACTACTTTCCATTAGAAAATTTAAAGCTAGTAACTCCCTCTATCTTACGTGTCTCAAGTAAAGTGCATCTCGTTATAACAAAAATATAATATATCTTGAGTTTTACCTCGTTTTTGTTTTGTCATTATCTTTTTTCATTTAAAAGTTAAAATAGAGGAGGGTAAAATTTATAAAATCCTAATTACACAAGTATCATATGTTACCATTTAATATACACTCAATAGAATAATTATCCGCACACCCAATGTTTTGTTATTTATATAGAGATATTTGTAATTATTTTTTTTTTACTTTTTAATGTCTAAGCGAAAGAATAACAGCACTGACAATTAAACATTTATTTACTGTCAAAATGTCATGTCATATCAACTAATGTCAAAAAGTGACGAAAATCTCCGAAAATTTCAGAAATAAATAAAAATAATTGGGTGGGCGGTTAATTCTGCCGGTGAGTGTATATAGAATAGGTGTAATATAGTTAACTTTTTGACTGTCTCGAAATCTAATAAGTTAAAATTTTAAGTTACGATAAGCAATTGAAAATTTCAAATAAGCAAATAGAAAATTGTTCGAGAGAGTCCGAGAGAGCTCGAGAGAAACGAGAAATTCTCGTCGAGAAATGACACTCTCTCGTCTCGTCTCGAATCTTTTTTCGAGAGAAAATGTCTCTCTCGTCTCGTACGAGACGAGACAAGACGAGACGAGAGACGAGAATCTCTCGTCTCGCGGCATCACTAGGAACAAGAAATATGTATTCTCACTACCAATCTCCAATGGAGGTTGTAGAGGCGTGATATCCACTCGTAGGTATATCTTGATAATGGGTGAGTGAAATTAAGTCACAAAGTATCAACGTGTGGATATGACACTTTTACAACTTCCATTATAGATTGGATGTGAGAATGTGTCCTAAAAAAGACGAAAGCGGTCCAAGAATGACGTTTTCCTAATAAGCAAAATCAAAACAAGAGTGATGAAAATATTTTTCTTTCGCCTGTTTTTTTATAGTAGTTGTTTTCCGAAGGGAAACGATCGCTCTACATCTTTATTTTTAAATTGGTCACATTTATTTCCTTTGATTTTTAAATAACTGTAAATTCTTCCCAGACTTTGAAATAAGCAAATACCCCCATACTTCTAACTTTGATAATAATTCACTAATATATACAGTGTGGAAAAGCCAAATGGAATAAATTCATTATTTCGATTACTGTACATATATATAGAAAATCCCGAAACACGTCAAATTTAAATTATAAATTGACATTCTTTAAAGTAAAAATGTGATCCCTACCTTCAACCCCCTTTGACTAACAGTTACAACCCCTAATTTTTTAAATGATAAGTATAGGCTTGTGATATATCGTTTGAAAGGCCTCGTTCATTCTCTATCCAAAAATGTTGTTTTTAAATTTATTGCAAAAATTAACATAAAAAAAATAATAACATAACCGAAATTTGTTACAATACACTCAATATGTAATATTTAATTGTTCATAACGTAAAAAATATGAATGTCAATGAAGTATATGTTCAAAATGCTCACCGCGAACGTCTTGGCAACATCCTAATCTTGAATAAAAATGTCTTCTAACGTTAATTAACATATCAGGCCGATCTAATCGCAAGCATTATGCGTTCTCTTAAGTCATCTAAATCACGTGGTTTAGTTTTGTAAACAATATTTTTCACATAGCCCCATAAAAAAAGTCTAATGGGGTAATATCAGGTGATCTTGCTGGCCATTCTATTGACCCTCGCCTCCCTATCCAGCGATTTGGAAATGTTAAGTTGAGATACTGGCGGACATTGATTTGGTAATGTGGAGGTGCTCCATCTTGCTGGAACCATATGGTATTTGCTGGAACTTGAGGGTTTCCTGGATCAGGAAATAAATTTGCCAAACTTGGCACCACATCATTTTGTAGTAGTGCTAAATAATTATCGCCATTCAAATTCCCCTCAATGAAAAAGGGACCAATAATATGGTTTTCAACAATCCCTGCCCAAACATTAACCTTTTGAGGGTATTGTGTATGGACCTCTCTTATCCAGTGAGGATTTTCCGTTGACCAGTAGCGGCAATTTTGACGATTAGCATGACCGTTAACGGAAAAAGTGCACTCATCAGAAAACATAACGTTTTCTAATTGGATGGTATTGTTATTCAACATTTCCATCATTTGTTCGCAAAAATTTATTCTCCTATCAAAATCGTCTTCCATGAGTTCCTGAGTCGATATCATTTTATAGGGATGCATTTTATTTTCATTTAATATGTTTAGTATCGATGTATGGCTGACTTTAAATGTTGCAGATGCTTGTCTACTCGATGTATGTGGGTTTTCCTCAAACTCAAGCATCATATCTAATTTGATATCATCACTCAGTGCATTGGCAGCTGTTTTTTTCATCTGCTTTACATGTCCAACTTCGCGAAATTGCTTCTCTATTTTACTACTACCTTGGGATATAGGCGGCAAATTCGGAAATTTTTCATGAAATAGACGAGCAATTTCCATTTGTGTTCGGGTGTTATACATCTATACATAACCAATCATCTGTAAAACTGTTATTTTATGCATTTCTGTTAATCTAACCATTTTTATGAAATTCAAACGACAATTATAATATTGACAATATCCTGCAGTTATAATTATTACAAACCAATTTGCTAAGGCGTTTTAAACAAACTAACATTGCTATGATAGTTTTTTAAAGGATTTTTTAAAATTGATATTAAAAAAGAACACTGATATGGTTTTTGCTTAGGTACTGTCTTATTATATTATAAAGACTGAAACGGGAAATAGTAGTGTAGGTACTCTAGAGAATTTCGGTAATAAGATGATTTTAATTTTTTTATGTTAATTTTTGCAATAAATTTAAAAAAAAATAACATTTTTGGATAGAAAATGAAGAGACCTTTCAAACGATATATCACAAGCCTATACTTTCCATTTAAAAAATTAGGGGTTGTAACTGTTACTCAAAGGGGGTTGAAAGTAGGGATCACATTTTCACTTTAAAGAATGTCAATTTATAATTTAAATTTGACGTGTTTCGGGATTTTTTATAAATATGTACAGTAATCGAAATAATGAATTTATTCCATTTGGCTTTTCCACACTGTATAGCATTTGCAAATATATTGTCCTATCCAAAAATATGTAGATAATTTCCTTAACAACACTCTTATTGCAAGCACTTTACTATTTCTACTCTCTTCTGAACTCATAGGTAGGTACTCATAACTTTATACCCACCTGTCACTCTTCTTCCACCAGTACCATCTAAACTGAAAACTGTTTAGTATTTCATCAAGAATAAAAAAACAATTTTATTGTATAACTTTATTTAAAGGTACAATAATCAATATAGTTTCGGTAATATAGCAATATAAAAAATAAATATATAGATATTTTCAAATATAAAGGTAACTGCAAAATTAAAAATACAAACTTAAATACAATTTCTATCTTATACAGGGTGTTTCCGAACTTGGCGTCCAAATTTGTAGGGGTGGTAGCTCGCATAATTTGAGAGTGATTGGCAGATTTCATTTTTCTAAATAATTATAATAAACAAAATAGAGCCATTATAAAAAAAATCAAAGAGCTGGTCCTACCCTGAGCGCGTAGCGCAATAGTCCTCAAAAACAGATGCGATTTGCAATTTCGTCGATTCTAAGCGTAGCGCGCGATTCGAAGCATTCCATCGCTGTGCAGGACCGTACCTGTTTATAATTTTTAATTATTTTTAATTTAAATATTTTGGAAAAATGAAATCTGCGAATCGGTCTCAAATTATGCGAACTACCACCCCTACAAATTTGGACACCAAGTTCGGAAACACCCTGTATATTTATACCCAGTTATTGCACTTATAGAAAAATCTCATAACTTCATTACTATTTCTACCCTCTTCTGAACTCATACTCATAACTTCATACCTACCTGTTACCGTTCTTCCACTAGTACCATCTGAACTGTTTAGGATTTCCTCAATAAAAAAACCAATTTTATTGTATAACTTTATTCAACGGAACAATAATCAACATAGTTCTGTTAATATATCAATATAAAAATAAATAAATAAATGTTTACAAATATAAAATATAAAGGTAACTGTAAAATTAAAAATACGTACTTAAATAAATTTCTATTTACTGTTACTGCTATTATAGAAAAATCTCATGACTTCATTACTATTTCTACTCTATTCTGAACTCACTCATAACTTCAGATCTACCTGTCACTGTTCTTCCACCAGCACCATCTGAACTGTTTAGGATTTCCTCAAAAAAAACATTTTTTTTGTATAACTTTATTCAACGGAACAATAATCAATATAGTTCCGTTAATATATCAATATAAAAAATAAATAAATAAATATTTACAAATATAAAATATAAAGGTAACAGCAAAATTAAAAATACAAACTTAAATAAATTCCTATCCTACCTATTTACACCCAGTTATTGCTCTTATAGAAAAATCTGTTAACTTTCTGGGATTATCTTTTATTTTTTCTTTTACAGGCGTACTACTCTGATAGCAAACCGGCGAGCAAGAGTTTTGAGTATACATAGGATTAACATTGGAACCCCAATAGGGCGATTGATAGAAAGGAATTGGATACAAATAAGGATAGGTATATAAAGAACTATTTTGCTCATAAGGAGTATTTTGCTCATAAGGAGTAAAAGTTTGGTAAGGTTTATGATAAATTTCCGGTGACGATATAGGAGATGTTGAAGAATACGATAAACTATCTTTTGAAGATTTAATTGAAAATAATGAACTTCTAGACCTCTGATAACTTTCCGGTGAAGAACAAGATGAACTATCGTTTGTAGATGTATTTGAAAAAAATAAAATTCTACATTTCTGAAAAATGTCAGGTGAAGATTTTGGTGATATTGAAGAACTAGATGTGCTGTCGTCTGTAGATTGGTTTGAATTTAATGAACGTTTAGATTTCTGATAAAATTCTGGTGAAGACATTCGCGATGGTGATGATGATGACGACGGAGAAGAAGTTATATATATTACAGTTCGATCTGAACTTGAAGATGATTTTGAACTTGAGGAATATTCTGGCGAAGATAAAGATGAAACTGACGAAGAACTAGAAGATAAAGGTGAAACCGACGAAGAGCTAGAAGATGAAGGTGAAACCGACGAAGAACTAGAAGATGAAGGTGAATCCGACGAAGAGCTAGAAGATGAAGGTGAATTCGACGAAGAGCTAGAAGATGAAGGTGAATTCGACGAAGAGCTAGAAGATGAAGGTGAATCCGACGAAGAGCTAGAAGATAAAGGCGTATCCGACGAAAAGCTAGAAGATAAAGGTGAATCCGACGAAGAACTAGAAGTTAAAGGCGACGAAGAGCTACAAGATAAAGGTGAAACTGACGAATAACTAGAAGATGAGGGTGAAACTGACGAAGAGCTAGAAGATAAACTATCGTCTTCTATTTTTATAGGAGATAAAGGATCCAGCCTAATCTCCTTTAATTTATTTCCTACATTTTCATATTCCCTACCAATATTTTTCCTTTTACATTTTGCTTGACCTGATTCTCTAAATCCCTTTGCAAAAGGATTGTTGTCGATTTTCAGTTTGGTAATCTTCTCGTTTTGGTAAGCCGTTACAGCGACGAACTCAGTTTCTTCAAACATCGTAGAAACACTCGGAGACCAACCGATTTGTCTAGGATCCGACGCTCTTACTATTGAAATTCTAGGTTGGTATTTGTGCATGGATGATAGTACGACCTGGCCAGCAGGTGGAGCTATGGTATTGGTTAGTTTCAATCTACCAAATGAAATGGGTTGCGACATCCAATAATCGCCTCTGGCAGGAGAATCTGGGTGAAGGTAGAGTCGGTGCGGACTTTGAGGTTCCTCAGAACCTGCTGGGAACCATCCGCCCGACGATGAGTATTTGTAGCGATTACGGGATACCGGTATCATTTCCAGGACAACGCAGTAGAAGCTTCTGGGCGATAGTTCTGCTACTTGTACGTGGAGTGATGGGAACATTCGTCTGAAACAAAAAAAATACCATTAATTTCAATATTTTTGTGTTAAAGGAGGAGGTAAAATACTAATTGTAATTGTACCTTGCTTATGACATTTAATTGCAAAGGGTGTTCCAACAAGAGTTTCCGGATGTTGATAATAAATAAAAGAAAACGTTTACAACATAAATGACGATTTTTTATTGCAATATGAATTATAAATTTTTACAATTATACGTGGAATATAATATCTGGAAAATGGCCACCACGACTTCTCTGGCAGGAAACAATTCTTTTGTTGAAATTTTCCATAACATCTGAGCACATTTGTGGTGTTATCTCACGAATTATGCGTCGAATTTCCTCTTTCTTGAACTGTTTGAGGATTGTTTTCCTAAGCTTTGCTTTTTACATAACCTCACAAAAAATAATCCAGCGGCGTCAAGTCGCATGATCTAGGTGGCCAATTTACGTCCCCATTTCTTGAGAGAAACCTGCCATCGAATCTTGTACGAAATAAATCCATCGTTTCTCTTGCTATATGACATGTCGCACCATCCTGTTGAAACCACATATTGTTAAATTCCATGTCCCTTAACTCATGCCATAAATAGTAGTTAATCATCGCTTGATATCGCTCCCCATTTACCGTAACAGCTTGTTCGTTTTTATTTTCAAAAAAGAAAGGTCCAATGATACCTCCAGCTCAAAAACCACATCAAACCGTGACACGTTGAGCATGCATTGGCTTTTCATGGATTTGTCTAGGATTTTCATTGCTCCAGATGCGACAGTTTTGCTTATTTACGTAACCGCTCAAATGAAAATGGGCCTAGTCGCTTAAGATGATTTTGTTGTAAAAATAATCATCATTTGCCTTCCTCTGTAGGATCCAGTTAGCAAAATCACGGCGTTGGCCTGTGTTAGCTGAATCTTGTAAGGGTGGAAAGCCAAATTCTTTTTCAAAATTCGCCATGTTGAGGTTTTGCTGATGCCCACTTGCTGAGAACGCCTTGCAATAGACATTTGGGGATTGTTAGTCACACTTTGACGAACAGCTTCAATATTATCAACCGAGCGAGCTTGACGTTCACGATGTTTTGTTTTAATATCTTGCACAGAACCTGTAGTTTCGAATTTACGCACTATATTACGAATGGTTCTTTCTAAGGGAAACTCTTATTGGAATACCCTATATTTTGTACCTCTTTATTTGTGTTTTAGATGTATTTTGTGTCTTTTAGTTATACCTTGTTCGGTAATTATTATAAATTATATATATTTTTTATAATAAAACAAATGATAGATTTTACGAATTTTTGCAGCCTGATTTTAATAATTTAGTCAATATATACAGAGTATCCCAGGATGGACTGAAAAGGAGGAAAAACTTATAGAGAAAATGTTATAATTCATAAAAGTTATTGTTTGTTTCAAAAATAATAATAATAATTCAAGAAGTTGAATATCTCTTGGTATTAGTAAAATATGATTTATTATTTTACATTCTTCTCTAAAGCAAGGATGCCATACTGTGTAGAAATAGTTACTCAATTATTTAACGATTTATTGAGTCAAGGAGTTATTCGAAACATATGGAAAAGTGCCGATATAATTCCACTTCCTAAAGTTGCAAATCCTTGTGAATATAATCACTACTATCGCCATTTATTAAATTTTTTTAAAAAATCATTGCTTCTCAAGTTACTACATTTTTAGATGAACAACTGATTCTACCCGCATTACAAACAGCTTATAGAAAAAAATATAGTACTAATACTGCACTTTTAAAGGTAGTAAATAATATTGCACACAATTATGATAAATCGGAGTGCACGGTTTTAATATTATTAGATCAAAGTAAGGCATTCGATTTAGTAAATCATCAGTTAATATTAGGAAAGTTAAAATACTTAGGTTTTGATAGGAATAGTTTATTGTGGTTCAGCAACTACTTGAATAGTAGGACACAACGAGTTAAGCTTGCAGGTACATATTCAGACTGTAGGAGTATAATTAAAAGGGTACCTCAAGGAAGTATACTTGGACCTTTGCTCTTTTTAATTTTTACTTTTGATTTGCCAAGATGCCTCTCTTACATGAACTAGCATTTGTATGCAAATGATTTACAACTTTATATGGGAATCCAAAATATTAATATAGAAAATTATATTGATCACATTCACGAGGATTTGTTGGCTGTTCATGAATGGAGTGTTAATCATGGTCTTAAATTGAATCCTAAAAAGTCAAGTGCCAATTGTATAGGTCTAGAGTTTAAGTGCAGGTCTATCACTAGTTTTGAACTGTCTAGATGAGAAAATCATTACATGGTCAACTTGTGCTAAAAATTTGGGACTTATGAATGGCGATTTGAATTTTAATGAACATGTTAATCATTTAGTAAGCGTTTCATACTTAAACTTAGAATCAATTTATCATTTGAAGTTTCTCTTTAGTGAAAATAATAAATTAAAACTTATTAATTAAAGCTGTTATATATCCTCACATTGATTACTGTTGTATAGTTTATTACTGTTTTCGTAGTAAATATAAGGAAGAGAAACTTCAGAAGATTCAAAAGTCCTGTGAGATTTACTTGTAATATTCCATATAGAGATCATGTTGCTCCATACATTCGCAGGCTAAATGAATATAAAATTCAGAAAAGGGTAAAATATTTATGTTTAATTTATTTGTATAAAATTTTAATGTCTTAAATTCCACAGTATTTACATAATATCTTAGCAAGAAGATCAACTCTACACAATGTAAATTTAAGAGTCAACACTTTTACAACCCCAGTGCATAGAACTTCAAAATTCCAAGGTTGTTTTAGTTATGTTGCACCATTATTGAATTCAGAACTTAATTATTTAAATCTGAATTTTAATAATTTTTTTAAGACTATTAGGCAAAATTTAAAATAATTATTTTGTGAACATTTTTTTTGCTGTTATAAAGGATGAATTGAAAAACGGCTCATTCATTTTGAGACACTTATGTATTTATAGTTGCTCAATTAACATTATTTATGTATTTATTATATATTTAACTTCTGTTTGGATTATTAGTTTTGAAACAAGCAAAACCTCTTATGAAGAATAACATTTTTTCGAAAAGTTAAAAAAAAAGTTTTTTCTCCTCTGTAATGATTGTATTTCAATTTAATTATATTATTTTATATTAATGTCTGGACTATAAATGTAAACTTAGTATATTAGCAATAGTTCCTGGACTATAACGTTTTCTTATATTTCTTGTAAAGCGTAAAGACGACAAATAAGTATTCAGTTTCCAAATTGTTGTTTCAATGATAACTTAATTATTTAAATCTGAATTTTAATAATTTTTTAATACTATTAGGCAAAATTTAAAATAATTATTTTGTGAACTTTTTTTAACTGTTACAATGAGGATGAATTGAAAAACGGCTAGCCAAATTCATTCGTTTTGAGACACTTATGTATTTATAGTCGCTCAATTAACATTATTTATGTATTTATTATATATTTAACTTCTGTTTGGATTATTAGTTTTTTCTCCTCTTTTTTAGTCCACCCTGTACATAAAAATATATTTTTACCACGTTATTTAAATACAAAAAAGCATACATGTTTTTAGTTTAAGTACTTTCGCAGCTCATGCGTAAATATAATAATATCGTCAACAAATTATTCATGTCTTTAAATATTTCTGTTGTAGTTAATCAAGGGTAGAAGAAAGTGTAAAACTGTTACAAATTGGAAGATATAGGAAATAAAAGAAAAAAAATCATATTAAATTGATAATTGTGTTGAAATAAATTGCATTTTTTTGTTTTATTCTCTTTCTTCCAAATAGTAAAAGGAGCTTTCACTAAATCCTCGCACTGTATTCAGTCCCACTGATACAGCGCACAGTAAACAAAATGTGCAAAAATTCCCGTTATAGGTACACCGTATTTTTTTAAGTGCCGGCAAACTACAAACACCCCCTCAAATTAGGGCTTATTTTCTATTAAACAGTAAACACTGTGAGAATAACAGCAAAGTGATTTTTTGTATGGACTGTTTAACGCTTCACAAAAAGCCAACAATGCTTTGCGGTACTTTTTGGACAATGGCAAGGCACTTGTTCGCTGGCCATGTGTGAAAACATCATTGTGCTACCATCAAGTACGCCGTGGACTACCTGTCCGGCATCGGCCCTTTGATTACAAAGGATTAAATTCGGGGTGGCCGACGATAATGCTCAATTCGGTAGGACCGTACTTGAGAATATCTTATCAGTTAAGGTGAATACAGCAACCCTTATAATTTTCTGACAAGGATATTTCAAATAGTAATTTTGTTAAAAAATTAAAATTTTGGCAAAATAAATAACCCATACAGCACACCAAATCCTTTGGATATCTACTGAACATCCCAATATCCACTGAATTTTCAGTCCATGGTGAATATCTATTTTATAGACATGCAAATGTCCATAAATAATAGTAATTATATAGCAAATTATTAAAAAATTACGCCATTATGCTCGCCATTGTGGCTAATAGTACCGTTCAGATATTTAAAATAAATTTTTTAAGGTGTATTCAATATCCCATGGACATCCACTAAATATATCAAAGTCTAGGCGCGAACGCAAACCATCGTGGATATCCACTAGATGTAATTTTTGATTTTGCTTACTAAGTATAGATGGCGATACTACTTTCGCATCTACTCATGCTCAACCCGCCGTAATTGAGTTCGATCGAAATTTGTTTCACAATCAGACTCCATTAGAGACTGGAGTCGAGAATTTCCATTTATTGCTGGAGATGAATAAGGATAACTTTCTCCTTAGTGGGCAAAATCAAAGGCAGAGTGTTGAAAATATTTTGAGTGTTGAAAATATTTTTTATCTCTGCCATTTTCTTTCTACTTTATTCAATAATCATTGGTTACTTATGAACCTCTACTAAAGATACCTATAAAATATTTTGCTGAATATCCAAATTCTTCTATATCCTGGAATATAGACGGACATTTGTTTGGATATC